TGATGTTGTCATCTTGGTTCTAATGATGACGAAAACGAAAGGCGATTGTTCTAATTTCTATTTAGAAATTACGTTTTATATGGTTGCTTCTTTCTCTCTTGTTATATTAGATTGAGATAGTGGGCCCAATAGACGCGCAGATCAACATAAATAGAACGAAATTTTGCGTAATCGCGCTACGGGAACGTTGTCCCTCTCTTTGCCATTTAATTTGCCAGTCTCTTTTTATTTGTTTTTATAGTTTTTTGTAACGGAACACCCTATATATTAATTGATTTTCAGGTTCTGGGAGAAAAATAAAGGTGAGTTTTATAAGAGAAGTACCTATATGACAAAAATGTAAGGTTTTTGACATATTTAACATTTTCTAAAAATAAAGAACAATTTTTAAATTAGAATAAAAGCTACCTAAATGGAAATTTACCCGGTATAGCCTAATATGTAGTTAAATGAACTATTGTACTTTAAATCAAATTAAATCTCGATCCAAAAAATTATACAGGGTGAGACAAAATTAATATTGAACATTGGTCACTTTTAAAAGCGTGTTACTCGTTTATTTTAAATGGAACACCCAGTATATTATTCCGATATTCAATACAGAATTCATGTCTCTTCAAAATACTATTAAGGTTGTCTACCCCTCAAACCAATATTTTCTTAGATATTTTCATTTACATGATTTGATCTGAGTAGATCTTTATTATTTGATAAAATCTAGGTGGCTGTGATATGGTCTGACGTTACTTCAACATAGCTGTCTAATTAGTCGAACTTTAACAACTAGTTATCATTTTGTGTCAGTAAAAACAAAAAAAAATTCTCAGAAATTTGCCGAAAATGCAAACTTATCCTACATCAGAAAGAATTGATATGATTCTATTAGTTAATAGAATACTTAAATGCTCCTGATTTTATCTAGTCTGGATTTTTTATGGGGATATGTTAAAGACAGTGTTTACAAAATTCGACCAACTATTGTTGACAACATGAGGGAAATGGTTGTAGCTGCTTTTCGATGTAGACCTCCATATATGCCTTTTAAAATAAAAATATCCTTTTGAAAAGACAATCATTTTATGCAGTTAACAGGAAAGGAAGCATTTTAAGCATTTGATTTCATCTAGCTAATTTTTGTCACATATTTATAGGTTTATATCTAGTTTTAATTCTGTATTAATTAAAATATAAGTTTTAAACGTGTATCTTTTTATTACCGTTGAGTATTTTACTCTACATTCTTTAATATAGTTCATGACAAGATACGGAGCTTTTTAGGGAACTGGGTCAACCTGTATACGTACGTTTTGCAATACGAATAGGGCAAATGGGAACTAAATTACATACCTGCTTACACTGCGTTCTCTTGATGCTAATTTCCATTTTTACGAGTGCATTGGCCATAGAAAACCCTATGGAAATTTTAATACCGCTTAATGTTAGCTCTTTTGATGATGAAGGGGGTAAAGTTCCATTAGAGCGTTTTAAAGTCCATAAAAAAAGCAAATGCATTCGAAATTTTAGCTCTATTTTATTTCTTTTTGAATTAATACTCGTATAAAAACATATCGCCTTGGTTACGCTAACCATAAATAAATAGAGTCATAACTCGCTTGGGACATTATTAAGGGGAATTAAGTCCCATAATTCTGTCTACCTTTTATGGGTAACAACTATGAAATACAATAGAGATTTTGACTAATAATATAAATGAAAATCGACACTCACCTAACTACTCTAATAATTTATGTATGTATATTAAATTTATATTTGTATATGAAATAATATGGAAATATCTTACCGCTACTTTCCGACAAGTCGGAATTAGGTACTCTGCGCTGTGTTTGCATTTTGTGGAATCGACCTAAGCTCACCTGATGATGGAGTAGGGCTCCTTTTCTATATCAGCAGTTCAAAGCAAGAATCTTATATAATTTATTATACAGGGTGAGTTTCCTACGATGTTATCTATGGGTATCTCGGAAACTACTGGAGATAGAGAGTCGGTTAGATGGGGAAAGAATTGCAGTTTTGTGTTACAAACTAAAATTTAAAAAAAAATAATATCACTACATACACTTTAAGTTATTTTAGAAAATGTTCAAAAAATCAGCCATTGTTTTGAGTTGCATCTTTTTAAAACTGAATTACTACCTATTCTCACAGAAGGACCGGTCGACTTAATTAAACTTTTCTCGTACCGCCACTTCGAGTGCCTCTCTTAATTCATAAGTTCTTTTGTAAACCTTATTGTTAACTATACCGCATAAAAATTCTAAGATGGATAGGTCAGGTGATCGAGGAGGCCCATGCAATTAGTCCACCTCTTTCTATCCCTGCGTTTGTAATTATGATATAAATAATTTTTAACATTTCTTTCATTATGAGGGGTGGGGGGTGGTGTGTCATAATGAAAGTCATGTTGGAACCACGCTATTCATGCGCGAGTATCTACACGCTTTTCTTCATTTGAAAAATTCATATTTACAATTTTTGTTTATTTTAATTTACAAACTTTGGATGTGGCAGTTTCAAATTTTTGAGAGCAACGGCGATTGAACTTGTTTCCATGGCTAACTAAGTGAAATTGTTTAAAAATGATAAGAATTGGCTATAACTCAGTAATTTTTCGAAGAAAACATATTATAGCTTATAGTCATGGCCAACTATGGTTTCCATTTAAAAAAATCTATGTTTGTGTCATATGTCAAAAATGACAGGCTTTAGAAAAAAACGGTGGAAACGGTGTCGTTAAGAATGTGATTATCTACAACTTTTATCTGAAAGCTTTTTGTCTAAAATAGCTTATAATGGAATTAGGGACAATTTTCAAAATAGCCGAAATTTGTTTTTTTCGAAATATCTAGTAAGCCATGAACTTTTTCAAAAATCTGAAAGGCGCATATTTATGACCCCACAAAACTGCAATTCTTTCCCCATTTAACCGACCTTCTATCTCCAGTAGTTTCCGAGATACCCATAGAGAACATCGTAGGAAACTCACCCTGTATAATATTTTATACAATATGATCGAAAAAAATCGACGGATACAAAATGAAGATTTAAAGATCGCTGTAATTTAGTATGTAAAATTATATGAGGATTTCATTATTTATCGTCTTTTCTAAGCCAACTGGACACCGTTTTTTTTTCGATCCTATGGTATAATTGGGGTCGCACCACTCTGGCACTTTTTACCATTGTATCGGTTTTTTAATCGCGGTGCGATCCCTTTAGACACACATTTATTAATACTAATATTATTCTGTAAAACTTAATGGGGTCTAATAAAGAAATTTGAATTTGAATAATGTTATGATTAGAATCTGCGTTTTTCGAAGAATAACAGAAATTAGAGCACACATAATAAATCAAGTTAAAATCTTTATCCTACAAAATGTTTAATCAAAAATCAAACAAACACTTGACAACATGTAATTATTCTTTTATGACATGTTGTTTTCATGTAGATTCGTATCAATGCAGTTAAATTAAAAAAATATTGCGTCTAATCTATGTCTGATGGGTTTTTTCCGTTGTAAAGATACGCAATTATGTTAAAAAGAAAGACATTTTATTAAGCTGGGTTATGTCTTCTCAATAGCCTGAATATATCTAAATGTTAATTTTGAAAGAAAACGCTATACTTTTTATCTCAAAACACTTTTTTTGTTCCTATACAAAAACTTTTATTTTAAAATTATTATTTAAATAATATAGTCTGTCCAACGGCAAAATCCTTGACAGTGATAGATGTGTCTGTCATTTTAATTTCAAAGTAGTTTATTTTATTTTACCAAGAAATAAGTTGGTACAATTGGGACTCATAGCAGGAAATTAAAATATTTAAAATTTGAGTGACAAGTGATTACTTCAAAATATTGTAATAAACTGTATAAAACTGAAACAATCTAATCGAGTTTTTTTATTGCAAATACCGTAGGTATGTGGTAATACAAAACAAGCAAGGGTGTATTTTAAACCAGATACAAAAAAAAATATATAAGAAAGGACTATTTTTGAGAGTATTTCTTACTTTCAAGTTTCAAAAAACTTAAAAAAATAAATTAAATTTAAGGTAAATTTTGTCATAATTTTCTCATTTATGATTCGCATTTTTGTTTTGTGTTTATTTTACAATATTTTACAGCATCTTTCTTTATTTCTTATAAATACCCTCATCTATTTTTTTAATATTTACCTTGTAAAATTGTTTAATTCTTTTTATAAGCGTTATTAAAAAATAAATCAAATAGACCAATTACGCCTACTCTGTTTAAAAAGCAAGATATTATTTTAAGAAATTTCAGGCACAAAAAACGGCATTAAAATCCGAATAAATAGCAGAAAAACTTTATAATTGCTGATTTAATTAAACTTTTCGTGTTGGCCAGTGTCAGATCTCTAATTAATTTATCAAAAGGTTCTTAACAACACAGAGGAAATGAGATAATTTGTAAACTTGGCACCAAAACGATGGAGAGATTTTTTTTTATTTTCTTATACAGTTTTTTTCTTAGTTGGAAATGAAAAATTAACCTAAAAAGACACTTTGAAATTTGGGTCAGAATTTAATGGATTTCTGCCATTAAATATCGGTTGGAAACATTATATTTTAAGCTATCCGAAGTTCTTTTATAGTATCAGCTTGATAGTTGAACTAAATTGAATTTAATTGCTAAGATACGTTCTCTTTTTAACCCAAATTATAGGTTAAATTCCAGTTTAAATTAACATTGCTTTGTTTCTCTCCACTTTTTTAGAAGTGAAACTACTTTACGCGCTGGGAGTAAAAATTCAAGGTCGTGACACACGAGCTAACGAGATGAAAAGTAAAGTAAGAATCGCACGATTGCGCAAACACCGAAAAACATTTGGTTTAAAACTAAGAAAATCATTATAATTAACTTTATAATGTACCTGTGTACCAATATCCTCTGACTGTGTACTAGGAAGTATTTTTTTAGGTTTGTAGCTTCTGAATAAGGGTCTAGGTAAAGAATCTAGTTCATTGCTAGGTCAGAATTGGAGTCAATAGAGTCAAGTAATTCGCATTTTTATTGAAGGACATTATCATATTTATTTCAAATCAATAATCAACGAGAATATTCATATAATTTAATGAAATTACTGTAAATCACTAAAAATAATGAAAAAAACATGTAAACAAAAACAGACCACACGAATTGTTGGTTAGGTTCAAAATTATTTTTTTTTTGTAAATAAATTTTAGAGGCGTTAACATTATTATGCCTAAAGTGTGTATTTTGGGTGGTATTCCACAAAATTTGCATGCTATTGAGGAAACAAAGAATGAACAGGTTACAGAAATAAATTGAAAAATATATTTATATTAAAACAGCAAAGAAGAATGAAATTATTGGGCAACCTACAGTAAGATTAGTCATGAAACATGGCTAAAATACGACTATCCATAGACACTTAGCGTTTCTGCCTTCCGGCTTTATCAATACGGGAGGAATAAGCAAGGATGAACTAGCGATCCTGAAGAAAAGAATAAACATACAAACGGGAAGCAAACTAGGCGCCATTTGCAACCTAGTTAAGCAGTAGCTCACAATTTGCAAGCGTTACTACCAAAAAACCGCTGCGGAGGTACTTCAACATACCTCGCCGCTATCACCTTGGCCCAGAGAAAACAATAAATAAAAGATGTTATCGTGGAGACTATAATAAAAAAGAAGAATGACATTATTGAGCAACCTACAGTAAGATTAGCCAGTAAACATAGCTAATCTTACTGTAGGTTGCCCAATAAGTTCATTCTTCTTTTTTTACTGGCTAATCTTACTGTAAGTTGCCCAATAATTTCATTTTTCTTTTTTATTATAGTCCCCACGATAACATCTTTTGTTTAAAACAGCAATATATAGGTCACTTTTTCAAATATGTCTATGATGTGTCACCTAAAAAGATAATTTGATTAGATAGACAGTTAAGTATTACAAAATAGTACAACATTTAAATTTTGCTTTGAAATGGTATAAAAATAAAATGGCTTTTAAATTTTTGAAAGATTAAAAAAACAGAAAAAGCGCAAATTTTAATATATCCAGTATCCCATTTATTTTATTTTCAAGCCACTGTAATCCCTAGCGCTTCATCTTTTTTGCTAATCAATCAAAGTGAAGAAAAGAAAATGTCACTATGGTATTTTAGGTTTTTTTGCCTTCAACTTATATTCGTATTCTCTTTTAGTTTAGATGACTTTAGAACGTATAATCGAAAATCAATATAGCTAAAGAGACTTGGGTTTTACAGTCACACACATTTGGAAAAAATAAATCATTGGAATTTACAAAGTTAGGTCAAAATTCTTTTTTAAACGTTATGGCTTAAATTCTAAATTATATATTTTGATGTATATATCATGACTATTAAATAATAGCAAATATTTTTAGTAACCGAGTCAGAGTCCACTGAGCGTAACAGTTAGATTTCCGCCACTAGAGTAGTAGGAACAAAGAACTTGAAGGAATTGGACCGTTGTCTCTGTTCATACTATCTTTACATTTATTAATTCTGATGCTTTCATATGCATCTAATTGCCTGTAATTTGAGACTTGTTTAATTAATTTTAAATTATTAAGATCTATTCAATGTTCTTTATCAACAATATGTTCGGCAACGCAAGATTTATCCGGTTTATCATATCTTATCTGAGCTAAATGTTCTTTAAATCTAGTTAATATTGATAATATTGAATTCATTAACAAAATTAAAGATATAACATTGCATGAAGGTGAACTTTTTGTCTCCTTTGATGTATCTTCGTTGTTCCCAAGTGTTCCAATTCCACATACTTTAGGCTACTTGAAGGAATTACTGAACGCAAATGGTATCGACAACAAAACTGTGATTGAATATATAAAGCTTACATCGTTATGTATGAAACAAAATTGTTTTCAATTTAATAACAACTTTTTTGAACAGCGGGAAGGTACAGCAATGGGTAATCCATTGTCTCCATTTTTGGCTAATTTATTCATGAGCAGGTTTGAAGTGGAGGCTAAAAATCAGTTTGAGTATTTTCCAAGAGTATGGTTTAGGTATGTGGATGATATTTTTGACACACATTCAAACCCCATAGATAATTTTATTTCTAAGTTAAATAATTGTTTTCCTTCCATTAAATTTACGCATGAAATTGAGAACAACGACAGATTACCATTTTTAGATGTATTAGTTATTAGAAATACTAATAACTGCCTGGAATTTGATATCTATAGGAAAAATACGACCACACGCAGATATATTCCTAATGAATCACATCATAGTGTTCAACATAAAATGGCTAGTTTAAATTTCTTAGTTCATAGATTACTTAGTTTCCCATTTTCCAACGAAAGATATGAAATAGAAAGAGATTACATTAGGAATGTAGCTGAGTGTAATGGATATTCTCCTTCACTAGTTGATAAATTAATTAGAAAACGTAGGTATAGGTTAATGATTTCTGAAAATTCGACTTTTCAAGTGGAGAAAGATACGTCTAAATATTTTTCGATACCGTTTGATAGAGAGTTATCCGTGGTCTAAAAGGAATTTTTTAGGAATGTCAATTATATACTTGTGTATAGTGCTAATAATAAATTACAACAATTATTAGGTAATCAAAAGATAAAACACCTCCACTGGAAAGGTCGGGTATTTATGATATTTCTTGTAAAGATTGTAATCAGAAATATGTTGGGCAAATTAGAAGATCAATATTAACTAGATTTAAAGAACATTTAGCTCAGATAGGATATGGTAGACCGGATAAATCTTGCGTTGCCGAACATATTGTTGATAAAGAACATTGTATAGATCTTAATAACTTAAAATTACTTAAACAAGTCTCAAATTACAGACAATTAGATGCATATGAATGCATCAGAATTAATAAATGTAAAGACAGTATGAACAGAGACAACGGTCCAATTCCTTCAAGTTCTTTGTTCCTACTACTCTAGTGGCGGAAATCTAACTGTTACGCTCAGTGGGCTCTGACTCGGTTGGCTAGGTTTTGCCACGCCCACTCGGTGCCTACTGAGCGAGTATATAAACGCTTAACTTGTAGATTGTACTTTAGTTTATAATCATCTGCTGATGATGCTAACATGGTCAGCGAAACGCGCATCCAGTGTAAAAGTAAAAGTGTTTTGGTGTATTGTGGTGATTTAGTGTTTTTATTTTACTGTGTAACACCAAAGGTTCCAACCCTCAACTGTAATACATAAAACGTTAAATGTCGAACGCTTATTTTGCTACTTTTTCGAACTAGCGAAATGGACTCTTATTGAAAAAAAAATAACTAAAGAGAATATGCTCCTTTTATCGAGACCTACCAGCCCAGAAAATATTTGCACTTGTTTAAGACTCACCCTGTATATTTTTTTTAATATATTTTTTAAAAAAACTCTAAACTTAAATTAACACTTTGTTGTACTTACTTTATTGTAACTAACAATCAAAAAAATAATTATCTAGATTATTAAGTTAAACATATTGTAGAAAGATAAACGTATAAAGTTTAATGTTTAACTGTATTCTAATTAGTTTAATTTGTATGCATCCCTACTAACTAACTTGTACGCGCAGTTTCTTGTATCTAGATAGTTTATGTATCTTAATCCAAAAGTTTTCCAAAACCTCCAGCTCACGCTTATTCAACACCTGTTTCACTGAAATATTTGCGCTTTAGTAGCCTTAAATCCCTAGAATAACTTTTCATACAAACTTTTGCAGAAATTTAAAACTGGATAAAAAATATAGGTAACGGTGTATATAATTTTTATAATAAAAAATATGTAGGGGAGTTGTAACAGTTTTTAGAAAGTTATTTTTCAAAAATAGAATGATAAATTTTGCAAAGTATACTTATTATCTTTAGATAGCCTAGACATTCATCATCAAAATCCACATAAGAAATCGAAGGTATATTCACCTATGTAGTCTTAAAAAAGGCAACAGTGGTGTGATGACATGTGTTACGATTGTACCCTGCGGTGGTACAATTGTAACATAGAAGAGGAACAAATGTAACGTGTTTAGTATATTGATTTTTCATCTGAAGCAAATAAAATTTTAGCTCCTACAATCTGACAAAGGTTAAGATATGATTTGGATGCATTCAAACAATAATAATTGCTAGAAAATGAATGCCAACTTTTATTTACAATATGTGAAAAAACAATATGTGTTCAAACAACAATCTTCAAAAGTTATAGATTTTTTTCTAAGAATAATTCTAACCCATTTTTTCAAACAACGTTCTAAACAAAACTGATAAACTGCGCCTATAAAAAAGTACAATATTAACAACAGGATACTTAATTATAATAATAGTAATAATAGCTCCCGTATATAGCGTTTAACGCCTTGGGAGTAGCAAGGTACAGCTTGCTATACTAGAGCCGTTCGGTATACAAGGAAGGTAATGTGGCTAGCACTACGCTTCAACCGCCTATTATTACCTCAAGATTGTGAATCCCAAGTACTCGTTTAAGGCTGAGTCGACCTAGGTACCCAAACTATTTTTATTTTAATAAAAATAGTCGGCTGATGAAATGCCGGGTGCGGGAATCGAACCCACACCTTGAGATTGGTAGACGAGAGCCTGTACCTCTACGCCACCGGGCACCGGATACTTAATTAAAAACTTTAAAAAAATATCAACTTGCGAATTTCCTTTTTTTTCAAAAACGCTTTTTCTTGTTCGGGTGATAAAATTCGGGTATGTGGATTGTCACCCATTTTAGGAGTTTCACCTGCTTGTACATGTGTAGAGGTTCGATAAGGAGGGGTTTCTCGAATCTCAAATTCGAAGAGGGTGAAATATTACCCTCAAATATTACAATATTTGTTATTTAAAAAACGGTTAATCTTTCGGGAAAACGCTTGGACACGCATAATTTATTTTGTTTTTTACATATTTTGAATTTTTTTAAAAAATTATGCAGGGTGTTCCAAAAAGTTGGGTAATTGATTAACCACGATTCTGCTTAAACTGCTTGACGTAAAAAGCTTATATTTGCAAACGGATTTTTCGAAAGTCAAATTCCAACGAGATGAAACTACCCCTCAAATATTACCAAGTTATATAATAATATCGCCATATTGGTTTTTCTCATTCTGATCTCATTCTGAAAAATTTATCCAGTTGGTATGTTAATGGAAATTCTTGCTTTGCTTTATCATCACCATTACAAATACACGCTAGTCTAAATATAAAGTTTGATATAATTTGACTTCATTTATAGTATAGTATACTATAGTGTTGTCAGTTTGAAATAACTGAGATTAATATCTGGATTTGTCTTACCTATATGATTGACGTATTCATTTGTTTTTGGTCACTTCCTGTTTCACCGGAAACTAACTAACTAATTTATGTCATATACTAACATACCAAAACTCGTTTTTTATCTGAAAAAATAAAAAAAGTTAAAGGGGTGAGCCAGTTTTGAAACGCACCCGGTATAATTGGCCAAAATCTTATCTCTTCAACTTTTTAACTCAAGAAATTATGGCGGGAATAATGGCAGGAAATAGATGTGTTAGCGCACTACAGAAAATTATTAAGAGTAAGAACATCTCTAGAAGTTTAAAAATTAGAATGTTCCAAACAATGATACGACCAGTAGTGCTGTATGCATGTGAAACGTGGACGTTCAATGCAACAGAAAGTTCGAGGCTAGAGATTTGGGAAAGAAAAATACTGATGAAGATTTTTGGAGGAAAGAAGATAGACAACATATGGAAAAGTAGAACGAATGAAGAATTAAAACAACTATATCTCGCACCGAGAATAACGGGAGTAGCAAGAGCACAAAAATTGAGATGGCTGGGATACATTTAAAGAATGGTTGAAGCAAGAATTCCTAGTATGATAATGAAGCGTGAAATAGGTGGAAAGAGAAGGAGGGGTAGACCGAGAACCAGATGGGAAAAGGATGTTGAAGAGGACTTGAAAAGGATAAGAGTGGATGGTTGGAGAATAAAGGTGAAAGACAGAAACAAATGGACAAAGATAACCAATCAAGCTATGATCCTTTTAGGCTTTTAGAGCTATTGTATTCATACTATAATTTTCTTGAATAACCCTGGATATATTATATTAGAACCTGAATAAAAGAGCTTGTTTTATGTCATTGTAGTTGACGTTTAGGCTTGTTGGCTGATATCTTTTTTAGAAACGACCATGACTTTAGTTTTATAAACATTGATCGAATACTGAGACACAGTCCGTTATAATAAATATATTACTCAGCAATCTTGAATTATTTTTTCTTATATTCTAGGTTCGCCGGGCAACCGATTCGAACAACAGCGACTCACGCTACGCATTCACAGAGGGCGCGGTAGTTCTACTCGCGTTCCTCACGGCTCACCTAACGGTAGCAGTTACACGGCCACGACAACAAGTAGCGCATCACCGAGTCCACGAAGGAACCACGATAGGGCTCACGAGAGAGTCAAGATCAGCGTGAGTTACCCTTCGAACGAGAATCTGTCATCGGCTACGTCATCGCCACAGTTGTTAGCTGTAAGTATAGTGATGTATCACTGTTTATATTATACTTGGTGTTATGTAAAGTATACACAAATTTTTGAAAAAGAGTTTAAGATCGATGTCTGGTTTACTACCTTTTCCATTACTAAAATTGAGTTTTCTCAAAGCCTATGTGTTAATAAATAGATCATATATGTTCTAACAAAGACAACCAGTGTTAAAAACATTCACTTATAACTATTTTTTTGTAAATTTTGCAGAGTATTTAAATCTAAGAAATAAATTGAAGGTATCTGCTTAATAGTTATTTTTTATACAAGACGATAAAATGCAATTTTATCGTCGTGTATAAAACAATATTTTTTCCATAGCGAGTTACGTTTTAAAAAATATTCAGAAATTATTATTTCAAGGAATTTATTACGAGTAGAAAAAATATTGTGCTGGGTTGGCGTTGGTTTCTATGTAATTTGACAAATAAATAAAGCTGTCTCTTTAGTTGTCAGTTTTGAGTCAATATTTTTTAATTCTCTTTCGTGTCGATTGACGATTGAATTAGAGCCAGAAATGGCTCAAAACGAAATAAGTAAATTACCAACAGATATTCAGGCTGAGGCGACAAACGCCATATCCAAACTACTTCCGTTTAAATCCGGAATAACTTATGAGAAAAGGAATAGATTTTTTTTTTAAATGGAAGCAATTAAAAAACGTGCGAGAAGAAATAAAGTTTTTAACCTATCCTCGCTGTTAAAGTATCATTTAATCTACCCTTTTACTATTTTATCTACTATTTTTGATAGATATAAGGCAAAAAAAAACAACAAAATTTTGTGTTTTCTGTATTGCTACAAAATTGAGTATATTTCTTGGTAAGTGATATCTCTGATGTAAGATAGATATATTATTAGTTCTTCAAAAAAATATAATATAATCTCAGCCCCAAGATATAATATAAAATACTTCATTTATTACATTTTTCGTGAATAATGTAATTCCGTAATCCTAAACCAAAATTTATCTCGCTAATATACTCGTACTGCCTGTTAGGAACTTTTGTTTTATATCTTGACCTCAAAAACTAACTTCGATTGTAAATGTAAATTTTCTGTATCTATCTATGGATTCATTTGAAATTTAAATTAACTTGAGCAAAAAGCCAATCAAGAAATATTTTGTGATATACTTGAAGTGTTACATAGGTTTAATTTTTAAAATATTGCCCATGGAACAGTTTAATTTAACTTTTGAAAAACTTTATTTTTCGACCTTCAAAGTATGATGCTTCATCATAAAAAACATGCCTATATAGGGTGGTCCAAACTGTATTCCGGAAACTTTGAAAACGTATTCTGTAGTTAAAAATAAGTAAAAAAGTTCGTATAAATGTATGTCTTAAAATGCTTAGTTTCGGATATACAGGGTGTAGAAGTTTCATTTTTATTTCGATTTTTTACAAATAATCTCTGAACTAACGTCAATATTTGGATGAAAATTGGTGTCTGGAAGTTTTTTGACATGAGAAATTTGATTTCTACTTATAGAGAGCACCGCCTACATATTTTTTAACTGGTTTTAAGAATAATAACTTTTCGTAGGTACCTGTATAAAACTACTGAGTAAAAAAATATACATCTACGACTTTTTTACGTAAAAAAGTCTCTTGGTAAAAATTGCTATTAAGTAGTTTTATACAGGTTTGGACGAAAAGTTATTAGACTTCAAACCAATTAAAAAATATGTAGGTGGCGCCCTCTACAAGTGGGAGTCATATTGACATCAAAATCAAATATTTTATGTTCAAAAACTTCCAGATACCAATTTTCATCCAAATATTGACGTTCTTTCAGAAATTATTTGGAAAAAATTGAAATCAAAATGAAACTTCTACACCCTGTATCCCTGCACATTTTTACTTATTTTTATCTGCAGGACATGCTTCTAAAGGTAATGGAATACAGTTCGGACCACCCTGTATATTAAATTAGCTGATTTAAGAGAAATCTGTTTACGGTTTGACACTTCAAATCACTCTTTTTGATATTTTCTATAACATTGAAAGTCAAGTCATCGATCGTCAGTAAAATATACATTAAATATATTGTATAACAATACAATATACAACCAAATACCTATTGCAATTCACTAAATGAATATATTGCTGCAATAATTAATCCAGAATTTCAAACCTACCTTCCTTAACAGTAACATCTGTACCACAACTATCTCCAGAGACTTATAAAGGTTAGTCAACTATGTGTTCATTAAGCTCTGTTGTTATAAGGGTGACAATATAAACGAGACATCATCAGTTTTGATTCAAGGATCCGACGCAGACGACTACAAATTCAAAGAAAAAAGCTTCAAAACTGCAAACGTAAATATGTCTTGCAAGATGTCGCCAAAACAACACGCAACTATTTCAATTAACATTTTTACTTGCATCTAAACAGCGAGAAGCTAAACGCCGGTACACTATGCGAACAAACTAACAGACGATGTTGTGTGAGAAGATTTCGAGCCGTAGAAATTCTCATTTTAATTCGAGCAGACTTTACGGCAAAGCAACGGGAAATCTGCAGATGCCGCCGTGCTGGCTGGTCCCAGCTGAGCCCAAGCGATTAAGCTTTTCATTGCGGCTCGAAGGATTCGTGCCTTTTGGTATAGAGGCAAACTTTAAAGGGCAAGAATCTGAATAAGGAAACGATTTAAGGGATGATATTTGGTTTTATTGAAGTTTCAAGAGCGTTCATATACATAAGTACTGTTTGTTTCATCGTATTAGATAAATTCAATATGTTTTCAGTATTACATTTGGTCTGGGGCTAACCCACACATGAGTGGTATTACTGAAATAGTTCTCAGAGACTCGTTATAATTAAGCAGCAGCTCCTACACTATGCGGAGAACTCTTCGAAGCAGGTCTCAGCCTGCCCTATGAGATATTGATTTTTACTTGTCGTAGTTACACGATAATGCAGTTTTATAATGAAACATATTACATTCTTTGATTTTTTATTTACTCTGGGCTACAACAAGTGGAACTAATAAAATTTGTATTAGTTCTATAGATACGTACATGAACAGATTCACCAATGGATTCTTAGCCTATAAACTGTTGATTTTTACTGATTGTAGTAGCTCAAAAGTGCCATTTTAGGACCTAAAATATTATATTCTTTCATTTTATAGTTATTTGGGCTTACTACAAGTAGAAAATCATAATTTAAAAGGTTTTTCGGAACGCTGCATGAACAGATTTACAGCCCGTCACAGTTTTGGCAGCAATTTAGACCTTTAAATTGTTGACTTTTTTTCCACAATAAGGGGCCGTCCTCTGCCGGAAACACTGCGACCTGTGAGGCCTATTGTGTTTGTCCCCTTTCTATATCTGCACCCATTCTCCTATCCCTGTGCCCTGCACTAACTTATGCAGGTCCTTGATAGGATGGGAGCATAGTTCCTCCGGTTCTAGCCTAGCTTTCCCAAATAAAAAGTGTCGCTTGCGATCCATAGCGTCGCAGTGACATATTATGTGCTCCGCTGTTTCAGGATCTTTATCGCAGAGTCTGCAGCAAAGACTTCCTTGATACAGATTGAGCTTGTTCAGCTAACACTTGACAGCCATATGTCCTGTCAAGAGGCCTGTTGTAATCCGCTAAGCATTAGCAGTTCTTTTGCGGTTTTAGAGCTAGGTCCATGGATAAAAGCCTTGCTGTGCCTGTGCCCCTGTCTGTTTTTCCAGTGGACATTCTGCTTTTTCCTGATCCAGAGTTTTAATGCACTACGGGCCATACATTTGGGTATTCCCAGTACTGGCTCTGGACCAAGATAAGATGCCGATGATCCTTGCCTAGCTAGCTCATCGGCTTTTTCGTTGCCTTGGATGCCGCTGTGGCCCGGCACTCAGAATAATTTAATTCTGTTCCGTCGAGCCAGAGCTTCCAGTTCACCTAGGCATTCCCAGACGAGTCTCGACGATACCTTTGGGCTCATAAGCGCCCCAAGTGCCGCCTGACTGTCTGAGCATATATTGATGAGCTTATCTGAATAAGCTCTTCTATTGTTTTCTCTCGCACATTGTAGAATGGCGAAGATTTCTGTCTGGAATACGGTTGAGTGTTCCCAGGTTTTTCCCAAGGAAAAGGATAAACTTACCCTTGGTCTTTCCCCAAATACTCCAGCTCCTGTTCCTTCAGCGGTCTTTGACCCGTCTGTATACCAGGTTAGTCCATCCTGAAGGAATGTTATATCTGTCGACATTCCTCGATCCATTTTGTTCACCTCGAATGGTTTGTGGTAGTGATAAAGAGGGGTCATCTGGTCCGATCTCATTTAAAAAAAAATTGTTGACTTCTACTCGTTGTAGTTGCACGAAAATACCATCTCAAGCCACAACACAATATATTCCTTAATTTTACATAAGTTTTGAGTAACTACTGCGTAACTACTGAGTAACTTTTGAGTAACTACTGAGTAAGTGGTAGAAAATTGCTTTTTTGTATTTTTATTAACTTTTCATAAACGCTTTATTGGTATGGAATTAATAACCAGCGCGCAGCGTCAGCAAGCGTCAATCATAAAAGGCTGTGATCATCGTATTTTGACAGTTCAAAATATCAGAAAAACTCGCGTTTTGTTGCAATAAAGAATATTGTGCAGCTCGAAAAACCAACAAAATTCTTTGTTTTAAAAATGAATCGGTTTGAAAATCATACTACATGCAAAATATGCGTGAAATTGTCTGATGTAATGATCAACATCGTTCGATGACTTATTTACCCGCATTAATAGAGGATTGTGGCTCCTACTTAAAGAAAGAAAATTTGTTTCGAATTGTTCACGAATATTTGCATCTAAACTAGTCAAAATTCAAAGTGCTAAATGGAAAAAAGGTGAATAAAATAGTGTCTAAATATTATATATATTTCATTAGACATAGACATTTAATTCAGTCCATTCCAAGTCCTACATTTTTGCCATTAAGAAGAAAGGAGATGTCCAAAGAATATAGGAAACATCTCAGCTTTGTAACTGAAATGTATCAAAATTATCATGTAAACAAAGAAAAACCAGACTCTCAAAAAGATATTCTGTCATTATATATGTCAAAAAATTTCCAGTATAATTCGCTGTTGGGTACCCACAAGGAAAAAATTTTCACTAAAATATATCCGTTGCCATGGTGATTTGTCAAAAAAACACGTTTTGATTGGTTAAAAATTGCAGGTGTGGAATTTTCTATAATATATTATCTATTTTATTCCAGGTTACTCCTACGTCTCCATCCGGACACCCGTCCTACGTCGTCCACTACTCAGTGAATGGCAAAGACTCCTCCACGGCGACCAAGCTGTGCAACAGGCGATCGCAGGTCAGCGACAACGATCACCTGCTGAAGGTGAACAGGTGCGATCCGAACAACCTGCCCTCGAAGAAACGGTCCAGTAGCGTGGATAGCGGGAGGAAAAGGGCTCCTAGTCCGAGTCCTAGCGCCAGCGAGGACGGGGCAGCTTCTGGGAAGATGAAGCTGACCACTCGCCGGATGGGGAAGAGAAATATTAAAGCTCAGGTAAGGGTGATATAATTCTAAAGCTTCACTTAGAACCTCCCAATTAGTGGAATAAATTAGTAGAAGTTTGTTCCTTTAATTTCATTTTAAGCATTCAGAACATCAAAATTAGTGGTAGTAATTTTCAATTAGTAGAAAAAGTTAACAAACTTTTAACTTTTTCACTAATTATACTTCAAAATTTGCCAGGAATGTCATTTTGGCCTTTTGAATATCATCCGTCAAAAAAAATTGTGGTTAGAAATCAAAAGTTGATTGTTTTATAAACTAAAGATTAGGCTCTCTATGGATACAACTGGCTATAGTAAACGCCACGAATGTTTGGGAGTGATTCATCGGTCGCTACCATGTGAACTAATCTGTTCAAGGTCACATAAAACTTAATTCCAGTGCCGTGGTGTTTCAAGTCATATAATAATCAATATATAATCTGTTGTAATTTGTTGTTTTAACTGTCAAAGTCTTGTCAAAACATATATTTGGTTATAAATATAAAATGGAATGCTCCATTGGTCGCACTGCAAGCACACCAATGGACTGACGCACAAAAACGAATCAATCAAAGAAACGCGATATAGTATCGTCTTTGTCAATCACGCTAACATTTTAGAATAAGTAGGAGGAGCGCAGGCAGATGATTAGACCGGGCTTTAAAAACCTACGTCTGCGGTAAACATTTACGTTTTTAATGTAAAAATGATAGCGCGCGTGTCGATTCTAACTTCATCAAGCGATGAATCACTCCCAAACATTCGTGGCGTTTACTATAGCAGTTATGTCTATTAAAAACAGTTGATATTACATTAATAATAATAATAGGATCCTGTATCTCCTACGCGGAGCAAAAGGCTTCAGTGAAAGCTCTCCATCGGGTTTTATTTTTGGCAGTTGTTTTTGCTAATGTTGACCCTATTTGTTGAGGCTCATCCTGTATGGAACGTCTTCAATTTTGAGCAGCTCGCTGCCTTGTTATCTTTTACCTTAGGGATTCCACTATAACGCTGATTTCGCTATCTATCCCCATTTTCTTTTGCGAATTACGCCTACTTCATGTTGGTATGTAAGATGAAGCGGGTCGGTATTGCGTATAGCGTCCGGCCAAAAGATTTTTAGTATTTTTCTCAAGCAGCGATTGATAAACACCTGTGTGCGGTTGATAGATATTTTTGTCACTCTCCATGTCTCGCAGCCATATAGTATGACTGGTATAACGTCGTTGGAATTGAATATTCTTAATTTTGATTTTCTGGTGAGTTGACGGGAGGTCTAAATTGATTTTTTCCATAGCAATTGTTAAAATTGCCTTATATCTATCAGAAATAGTAGATAAAATATTACTTTAACCGCAAGGGTAGATTAAATGATACTTTAACAGCGAGGATAGGTTAAAAACTTTATTTCTTCTCGCACGTTTTTTAATTGCTTTCATTTTGAAGAGTTTTGTATTCCTTTTCATAAGTTATTCGGGATTTAAATGGAAGTAGTTTGGATATAGCGTTTGTCCCCTTTTGAGACCTTTCGTTCAACGCCAACCCAGCACAATATTTTTTCTACTCGTAATAAATTCCTTGAAATAATAATTCCTGAATATTTTTTAAAACGTAACTCGCTATGGAAAATAATATTGTTTTATACACGACGATAAAATTGCATTATCGTCTCCCGAAATTAAGTCACTCGCGATTTCATCGCTCGTGAATCGTTTCGGTCCACGATAAAATTACATTTTATCGTCTTGTATAAAAAATAACTATTAGTTGGCTAAAGGTTCACTGCGTTTTCCTGATCCTGCTGACAATATCCGCGTCTGCGTCACGGTTTGCTGTTACAATACTTCCCAGGTAAGTAAACTCTGTTAAGTTATCCACATTTTTGTTTCCTACATTAAATGGAGTGTTGTTATTTGTGTTGATGCGCATTGATTTTGTTTTGTCGATGTTTATACTTAGTCCTACTCTTCTGCTTCTGTTTTTAGGCGTCTGAGCAACACTTACATGTCTCTGAAGGATTGTGTTGTGAAACAGATATCATCAGCATAATCATGATGTTATATTAGTAATGTTTTAAATATATTCCTTGATAAGTAAGACCAATATTCTGAGTCTCACGTTTTTTTTTATCAGGACACCTCCTCAGTCTCCTCAATGAACTCCTCAATAGATTGAAGCAAAGAAACAACGGCGAATGCAGATTCTGTGGGGAAATTGAGAACACTGGAACATTTCATCACTGACTGCACCGAGACGAGAATCATTCGTGCCATAACTTTGACTGATATCGGTGATTTATTTTCTGTAAAAACGTCTGTTGACCGATAGATCACCGATATGAAAAAAATTACAAACGTACTCACATACTGGGTATTGTCGAAGTTCTGATACTTTATAATGAGTTATAACTCAAGAAAGGGGACCACAATAGATCTATAAGATCGCAGTGAATCACATCCCCTTTCCCATACAATCTACAATCTTTAAATAAATAAGAGAAAGACATTTTTAATCGAATTCTTGTCTAGACACAGGTCTATACACTAGCCTGACCGGACGCTTTTTTAATTAAGCCCAGTAGGTGGCCGTCTTCGAAACGGTGCGGCTGTAAAACCGTAACTCCAGTCCTAAAAGAGTTCGAACACGTAAAGCGAATTAAAAAAAGATAGCCCCTCGGTTTTAATTAAAGCCTCGGAGCTAAGGGACGGTTTATGTCGTTCCGGTGCAGTTTACTACGGCCGCCAGTTAGGTGCAGTAATTTCCTTGGCTCGACCTCGTTCGGCCCTACACCAAATTTAATCAACTACGAGAAAAAACGAACGGCGTAAATTAACCGAATTAGTAGGTTAGAGTGTATTTGTAACGTATGTTACAAGGTTTGAAAGAAACCACTCCACTGAAAGTAGTTTGTATTATAAGAATAAAAATGGAAACATGCGTATCATAATCAAACTAATTGTGGAGATTTATCAAACTTGTGGGTTCACTAAACTTCTTACTAACAGCTATTAAATTGGAGGACATGTTCCAAACATGTGACAAAGTAACATATTATAATGCTGTTTTTATACAGGGTGTCCCAGGCTGAGCCCGCATTAGAAGTTTCTAGAGAACCACAATATTTAGATCGGAAATTTTTCGCACATCATTGTATCACAACGAGATCTATCGATTAAAAATATTTTCAATGTGGTGGCACTTCCGGAAATACCTGAAGTTAACAGCAATTTTCTTACTTTAAATGGGTGCCCCCATTTTTAATTACATAGTTAAATTCTCTGTAAAATTTTATGAATTTTGATATAAACACTTTATACCGTTTTTGAGAAAAAAACATATTTAAAATTTTTGGACAAAAAAAACTGCCTGCCAAAAATATGTGTATAGCCTAAACGTCAAATTTAGTGATTACCACTTTGCCATAAAGAGAAGACATGTGGCTATTTATTTCAAAAATGAAATTGTTCGAATGCCATATAAAAATGACAGCAGCTGTCATGGAATTGAGCGATTCAAAAATTATCATAAATCATTTTTTCAAGTGGAAATCCACTTTTTATTTCGCTAGTGAAAAGGCGATTTTCAATTCGTTGCTTTTTGATTATACATGTTCCTATACCTAGAATAAATCGTTTTTAAGTTATTTAAGATTTAGTTTGAAAACGTATATTTTTCTTGATTTTATCTAGCTTCCTTTGACATTAAGCGTCAAACAGTCAGACAATGTATTTCCATCTGTCAAAAAAGGAATTATTTGAATTTTCTATATTATAAATACTGCCTGCCTTAAGAGTTTAAAAAATGTATTTATAAAAATATATTTCGTATTTTCGCTCTTTAGTGATATCTAATAGTTGATATTATTAATAATATACCGTATGATCGAAAAAAAAAACAGCGCAAAGTTGGTTTGGTTGGCTATCATCGATTATACTGCTTTTTGAACATTGTGTCACAATATAACATGGCCAGATCTATTGTTTTACATCACTTTTAAATTTCCTATATATATACATCTTCCTTCAAGTATATAAAGGTGTATTTTAGGATCTTTTTCTTCTTAAAGTGCCTTCTCCATTCAGTGAAGATCGGCAACAACCATGGCAAATTCCTCTCTATTTTTCGCTCTTCTCAGCAAAGTATGTGAGTCCAGGCCTGTCCAATCTCTGATGTTCTTCAGCCAGGAGCATTGCCGTCGTCCGGGTCCGCGCTTTCCCTCGGATTTTACGATACAAGTATGAAATATAGAGTGTTTCAAAAAACATGTGCCATCTCTCGTGGGGAGATTCCTCACGTAAAAATAAGAATATTGTTCATTTTAGAACCTCTTTTAGTACGAACTGTACAAAATAGCTTAATAGCCGTAAAAAACTCATCTTAACTTTATGAGAATATTTTGAACGGGAAAGCGGTAGTAATGGCCTTTTATGTCACTTAAGTGCTGTTAAGAAGGTGAGTTTTGTTGATGTAAATAATAACTGTTTATATATTTTTAATTAATTTCTTTTCCCTAAAATATGTAAAAGTAGGCAACGCTGTCCCTAAAAAGAATTTCTTGTTCAGATGCTTATATTTTGTGTGCTTATAGTTTTATAACTTTTAATTACTAACATTTTTATAACCATAAGAACAGTAAAACACTTTGTAATACTATTTACGATTTAAGTATAATAAGAAAAATACAAAAATAGAAATCCGCTATAAATATAATCTCAAAGCATTATAAATACACGTTTAAAAACGTTTGAAAACGACTTTTTTAAAAAGCTCGAAAGTTGCTTTGAAACTTCGTGGTTGTTTGGTTTAATCTAAAAACAGCCACAGTTGGTAAAGAAAGAACTATTTACGAAACACAAAGGTCTCTGACATATTTAAGCAGCGCAAAGAGAACTTTATAGGTTTTTTAAATTGCACAAATAAAATTGTTTGCTGGTGTATTGTTTGGACTGGGCTTAGAAAACTAAGTGTAGAAAATACAATACGTTGAAAATAATACTTTTTAAACTTACG